AGCTGCTCTCATCAACATCAAAGCAGGGCTACAAGGAATTTCAAGCTGAGGTTATAAATAATATGTTCTAATCAATTACAGAACTCTTTTTTTTTTTTTTTCAATTTTGATTGGATTCTTATGACAATGCTATAGGCACAACTCCTAATGATTGTTCATCATCGAAACCTGGTTTCTCTGGTTGGATATTGCGACGAGGGTAACACCAAGGCACTCATTTATGAATACATGGTCAATGGAAATTTGCAGCAACGCTTATCTGGTAACATCAATGTTTTATGCGGAAACTTCACTTTCTGACTCACTTATGACAGTATGAGCTTTCCCAATATCATTTTTTTCTTTTCTTTTCTCAATCTTACACAAAAGTTCAATAAAATCCTAGAACTCTGAATTTGTTTAGCGGAGGAAGTCTTGATAAAAAAAATATTCTCAAGACTTCTGACTGACAAATGAAACATTTTTTCAGAGGGGGCTAATTATAACGGAAACTAATAGATTTGGTTTTGGCTGCAGAGACAAACACAAATGTTCTGAGTTGGAAAGAAAGACTTCAAATTGCAGTAGATGCAGCACATGGTTACTATGTCATCAACCTCCTTTAAATTTCTCACTTTTCTTCTTCATTAGTATTATTATCTCTAAATTAATTTCTTTTCCCCTTTTTCCTCTTCCGAGGATGTTCCAGGTCTTGAGTATCTACACAATGGTTGCAGGCCACCAATAATTCACAGAGATTTGAAACCTGCTAACATATTACTGGATGAGACAATGCAAGCCAAAATAGCTGATTTTGGGTTGTCTAGAGCTTTTCCAACTGAAAGTCAAACTCAAATTACAACACAGTTAGCTGGAACACCAGGGTACCTTGATCCTGAGTAAGTAGTGTAATTTAGTTTCATCTTCTACATGTCTTAAGATTGGTATAATACACTTCCTTTTTGTTTTATTTTTGTTTCCTCAGAAGTAAAGCATGTGGAAATTTAAACAAGGAAAGTGATGTTTATAGCTTTGGGATAATCTTGTTTGAGCTGATCAGTGGATGCCCTGCAATAACAAGGAGCTACAATGGAAATTATATTCACATTCTGGCGTGGGTTACTCCAATAATCAACAGAGGGGAGATTGGAGATTTGGTTGATGTGAGAATAAAAGGAGAAGTTGACCAAAATTCAGCGTGGAAGATGGTTGAGATAGCCATGTCGTGCACCCACCCCAGTGGTGACCAAAGGCCAGACATGAGTGTTGTTTTAGAGGAGCTTAAGGAATGTTTGGCGGCGGAGCAAAGAACATCTGAAGAAATCTATGAATTGTCTTCAACAATATTTTTAACCGAGTCAGATGCTGCCCCTTGTCTTAGGTAATTGTTCTATAAGTTCATTCTATGCAGGTGACATACATTTCATTATGATTCGAGTAAATTGGGTAATTAAAAGTATAAATAATGGCTTAGAAAGATATTTGTTGAATTAGACAGAAATAATTAAGAAAAGGTATAGTTTTGTTGAATTGTTTTCGTTTTCAGGCTTATAACTGAACTGTGATTTCATTTTGTATATGTTGTAAAACATATGTATAAATATGAATGTAGATCGAGTATAATTTGACGATTGAGTCACTGCTCGCTGGGGATTATGGTTGGAATATTGTCTCGATATTTCAACAATTGTAATCCCTATGTATTTTTATATATTTTCAATCGGACTTTTTGTAATCTTAAAACTTTCTATTTATGTTTTATGGCAATCATTATAGGTGGTTCATTGGTCCAAAGGGACTAAGGTAATTGAGAAGGAATGAGCTCAAATTCCATTATGACTATTTATCTTAGGAATTAGTAATTCTTATGGATGATAAAAGGCCTTAAGACATGTCGTTTTTGTAGAAGCTTTAATTTTTGTGCTTGTCATAATTGTCGATTTAGTTTATGTACGGTGAAAAGGTACCTTGAAATGGTGTTCTTTTTTTAATATTCAAACAATTGTAAAAAACATTGAGACAGTTACGAATTCCATCGAATTTCCCTTACTTGATCGAACAACTCAAACTCAAACTTAGACATCTACCTATTTCTTTATCATATTTGTTGTACTAAAAATAAAAAAATAATAATAAAATCTAATCAATTTAAATCGAGAAAAAAACTCTTCTCTAAAAATATAAGAAAATTTAAAAAGAAAAGAGAAGAAGAGAACAAGAAAGTAAATTTCACACTTATATATAAACTTTTATACCAAGAAAATGAGGGTCAATATTTTGACTGTCAATTTTTATTTATACAAGCCATTTTCTTTTATTCATACCACAATGGTCCAAATTTAGTTTATTAATTCGAATAATAAATATGTATATAAATTAAGAAATCTATTTAGTTCATTTCATTCTCTACCTAAAATAAAGTCTGTGAGATTTTATAATATTAGTCTATTTTTAGAAAATGACTAATGAAAATTGAATAATATTTTTAAATTTATTAGTTACTGAAAAAAAAAGTATATTAAAAACAAAAAAAAAATTATTGAAGAAAAGAAAAAAGTTTTAAATGAAAGAAGAAAATGTCAAAGCATTGTCATCACATACTACCGTCAAAGAAGAAAGTGTCAAAGACTTCGACAAAAGGAATATATTAGTTGCTTTTGAATGAATTTTTATAAAAACAATAAAATGGAGGAGAAAAAAAATTCTAATAACAATAAAAAAGGAAAAAAAAATTATATTGTAATTCATACCTTGTCGTGTCCGAATGGTTAAAACAATATTTAAGTGTAAGGTGTCGGCATCTATCTTTATGTTGACACGGAAAAGAATATATATTTTTTTACCTTTCTTTATCTTATTCGACCAAAAATTTAATGGTAGTCGTCGAGAGATTAATTTAATCATTGTACTTTTTTTAGTACCTATCCATATTTGAACTTAAACAAATTAATACTCTAGATTAATTAAGTTCTCATTTATTTTGAGAATTTCTAATTACAATAGGTGCCTTCTTGTAACTGTATTAAGCTATTTCTTAGGTTGGAAAACGGTGTGAATGAATTGAGTTGGTTGTCTCGTGAGTAATTTTATGGCTTGAAATAATATTTAAAGTTAAACTATAAGTTTTTGATCTCCCAACTTTCAAGGCGGTATCTATTAAGTCCCTATATTTTAAAAGATTTATAACAATTCTCTAGACAACGTTCCATTTTGTCTGTGATAGATCTATATTGTAAGCGTAATAGTTAAACGTCATTTACGTTACATATATAGCGACTATTATTATTTAAGGATTGCATGACAAAGTTAATTTTAAGTATATTTAAGGTGTTTGGGGTCGTGCAAATTTAAAAGATGGAGTTGATGACATGAATCCATTGGACACAAAATTTAAAGATACTGGAAAGTTGATGAACCAAACTTATAATTTAATYTTTAATTAACAGGTATGTGATTTCAATCTAGCCAGAGAAAATATCGAAAATTGAATAGAATTTGAGAAATTTTTCCAATAATAAAACTTGGCTCCTATTAGTAAGGAGCGACATTGTTCTTACCATTATTGAATATTTGACAACTCATTACATTTTAAAATAAAATTTTGTTTTTGCATTTATCTCTCTTAGTTTGTCAAATATTTAATGCGGTGGTAAGGACAAGGTTGTTCCTTACTAGTGAGAAGCCCAAATTTTATCATTTTTCCAATATGAACTCAAAATTGATAACTCTCGATCTTGACTTTCAATCGCCATTATTTATATACAATACCCAAATGAAGATAATGTACAAAACTGTATAAAATATACATGAAGTAAGCTATAGGGATAAGTTTATGAGATTAGAATAAGTTGAAAAAAACATAACATAGAAAGTCAAATGGAGGGCTATGCAAAGCAGCAATATAAGTAATAGAAATTGGGGTGTCATTTGGAATTAGACATTATATTAGAGAAAAGAAGAAGGATATTTATCATATGGCTCTGCAAAAATCAGCCAATTGTGTTATTATTGTTGGCCTTTTCATCCTTCTCATGCTGCTTTCTTCTCCGATACTAACCTCCCATGCTGCTCGTTTCGCCAATAAAGGTGAGCAACTCGTATTGTCGTTCATAATATATAATGTTCGGGAGCAATTTGAGTTATACAACGGAATGAAAATTTAAGCCTACAATAACTAGCTTCTTCAAAAAATTTGTGCGTTACTTTGGTCTTTGTACTTTTAAAAGTTTGATAAGTATCAGACTTAGATTTTGATTAAAACTTACCAAACGTCACACGTTGTCATTTCTTGGCTCTGCGAGTTTTTGGGATGTTTGAATACTATTTTAGTTATTATACTTTATCGGTTTTTATTCGTTTTGGTTCTTGTATTTTCAGAGCGTTTATTTTGGTCTCTTTACTTTCAACTTTGATTCGTTTTAGCTCCTGTTATTTCAAGATGTCCATTTTAGTCCCTATACTGAAAGTAACTATTAATTTTGGTCCCTTCAATTTCATTTTTATTACAATTTTATGATGACACTTCATTCACTAAATTTCTTAAAAAGTAGCCATAAATTTGTATTGAAAAGTTTTCAATTGTATATTAACTTTGTGTTAAAATTTTGCAAATAGAAACTAAAATTGTTACTTTTAAAAGTATATGGACAAAAACATACGTTTTAAAAATATAAGGATCAAAACATACGATTTGAAAATATATTGAAGACCAAAATAGACGTCTTCAAAGTACATAGACCACTAAAATAAACATTTTGGAGATTGACTTGGATTTGGTATGTGTGTGTTTTGGCATATGACAGATCCACCCATGTGCCCACAGTGCATGTGTTGCACTTCTCCACCACCAGGACTTTGCTGTGATTGTTGTTCCAATTCTCACTTGCCACCATAAATCCCTAGCAATATATAGGGACGTGGGAGATCGAACCTTCGACCGTGAAGGAATAAACGCATGTCAATTACTGTTGAACTATGCTCGTGTTGGCAATCCGTAGTTACACTTGTTGCTCTTCGTGTGTATGTATGTATTGTATTTAAATTACTGTTGCAATGCAACGGTTAATTTAAATATTTCATCATATTATAATAAACCATCTCTATAGTATTCAACTTGTTCGTTATATATGTTAATATTATGTACTCTTAGACAAAGTCCATACAAATTAAGAGGGAGTATGGTACCTAGTAATAACATATTAGCGGGTGGGCATAAGTGTCGTTTCTATTATGCTCCTGAATTTTGAGTTAAAAAATTTAAATTATATTCCTTAGTTTAAAAGGTCTCATTTTAACCTCTAACTTTTAAAATGGTTCAAAACAACGAACTTTCATCATTCATGTTAGGTTTTCGTGTTAAAATAAAAGACCAAAATCATAGACCTAAAAAAATTGAAGGGTCTTAGTCACACTCCTTCGACTTTTCGTGTTTGTGATTTTTCTCAAAGTGTGTGACATCCCTTTAAACAATTTTTTTTTTTTAATTACTAAAACTCAAACCATCAGGTGCCTTCCCTCCTTAATCGGCTTGATTTTGAACGTGAATAAAACTTTTCGATATAACATGTTATATGTTTATATGTGTAAATACGAATGTAGATCGAGTATAATTTGAAAGTTGAATCACTGCTTGCTCTCAATATTTCTACAATTGTAATCCCTATGTATTTAGATTTTGTTTCAATTGTACTCTTCTAGTCTTAAAAGTTTTGATTTGTGTTTAATGGTTTTGTTTATTTCAAATGGGAGGGAATGTGATACGAAAGGTTCTAATACATGTCCTTTTTGTAGAAGCTTTAGTTTTTATGCTTATCATAATTGTCGATTTAGTTTATGTATAAGGAACATTGAAATGATCTTTATCATTTTTCAATATTCAAATAATTATACAAAAGATTGAAACAGTTATAAATTATATTGAGTTTCCCTTGATCGAACAACTCAAGCAAAGACATCTACCTCCTACCATATTTGTTGCACTAAAAATAAAATTTAGTCGACTTATATTGAGAAAAAGACTCTTCTCTAAGAGTAAAAAAATTAAAAATAAATAAAGTTTTCATGCTTATATATACTTTTTAACTTTTATTCCAAGAAAATTAAGGTCAATATTTTGACTTTCAATTTTTATTCATACCAACCATTTTCTTTCGTTCCAACCACGATAGACCAAAATTTTGTTTATTAATTTAAATAATAAATATATACATGAATTAAGAACTCTATTTAATTCATTTCATTCTCTACCTAAAAAAAGTTGCGAGATTTTATAATATTAGCCAATATTAAAAAAATAAAAAAAATGAAAGATTGAATAATATTTTAAATTTTATTAGTATTTAAAAAATATATATATTACAAATTAAAAATTTATTCGTAAGCGTAGAAAAAAGATTTAAAAGAAAGAAGAAAATGTCAAACCATTGCCTCACTTACTACTGTCAAAGAAGAAAGTGTCAATATCTCATTAGTTGCTTTTGAAATCATTTTTCTAGAAAAAAAAATTATATTTGAATTCATGCCTTGGTGCTCGATTGGTTATAAAGTTTTCTAAATATTGTCGACACGTCGACATTTCTATTAACATGTCTATGAGGGATAAATTGATATTTTCATCATAGTACAGAAAAAAAATCGACAAAATAAAAAATATCAACAAAATATCCTTAATATATACGTAATATTAATATTACTTAATTTTAACTTATTTAGAAATAAGAAAAAGTTTATTCCCTCAATTTAAATATTTTTTACGATTTTTTAATTTATATGAATTTTACATAAATATCCTGCATGCAACCATATTTAAAACCTTAAAATTATTTTTGGCATTTACTGATGATTCAACGTCCCTTTAAGTATCGAGGCAAGTTCTAAATCTGCTGGATATTTGGTCCTTGAATGGTCTCTGTGCTTTAGCGTATCGATTTCATTGGAAATGGCCGGCAAGATTGAACTTCAAGCACCGAGTTTTTGTCTTTTATTGAGTATCCTCTGCAACTCCASCCTGGCTGCCGGATCCAACAGACATGGCGGCCGGAGACTTGCTACAGACAGCCCCTCCGGTGAGTATGACTTGGTTATTTAGCAATGCTCGCCCTCTCCTCTGTTCGGCGGCTCCCATATACACCTTCTCTCTCCACGCTAAGGGAGCGCAACCACAACGCCTCCACGTCGAGTCTTACCCAAACTTGCCTTCCACTCCACCCTCAATTGCTAGAGGAAAGGCTATCGGACCCGGTTCACTCCACCCCTCTTCAACAATACGAAAATCACTTCACTCTCACTATACTCCATTTTACTGATTTAAGCTATGTCCTTCCCGTTTTCACAATACATCAAGTCAAAACGTCAAATTAGGCTTTAAGAAGTTCTCTTGACAGATCGTTGATTCTTTATTATAATTGGAATTTGGAACGAAAGTTATGTGCTATTTATTTATCAGTTCTAACTTCTAACTAATTTCTCTCAGATTTCATTAGCATCGACTGTGGTGCAGTTGAAGACTCGGTAGACGGGGAAAGTGGGTTACAATACAAATCAGACAAAGATCTGATAAACACAGGAGTCACCGCTCAGATTTCTCCGGCAATTGCCGACGATTATAGACTGCCATACAGAAACCTAAGAAGCTTTCCGGAGGGAGTAAAGAACTGCTACACACTCAAGCCGGAGGCCGGAAGGAACAACAATTACTTGATCAGAGTCCGCCTCGTGTACGGCAATTACGACGGCAAAAACTCCACCCCACAATTTGACATCTATCTCGGCGTTAATCTGTGGGCGACGGTGACGTCCGGCGATAGCAGGGAAGAAGCCATTTACATGGCTACCACGGATTCCTTTGACGTATGCTTGGTGAATATTGGAAGTGGAGTCCCTTACATTTCTGCCTTGGAATTACGGCGCTTCGATAACTCCGTTTATCGCACCGACGAGCAGCTGTTCATGGCCTTGGCGAGACGCTACGACGTCGGCAGCGACACTATAGTCAGGTAATCCCTTTCATTTGGTTTCCTTATTCTTGATTTCTTCCTTCCGGATTCTTCATTTCCCCAACAGATATCCGTTTGATGTTGATGATCGAGTCTGGGTACACTATGAAGTCGGATCGTTGAATAAGTTGCAGACGAACGCGAGCATCACACGGAGCAGTAACGATTCTTATGAATTACCGGAATTAATGTTGAAAACCGCCTACGGGACCCGGAATTCCAGCACTCCTTTCGTCTATGGATGGACGCCTTACGCCACCACCTCTACATTCTATTTCTGCTTCCATTTCGCTGAGATTGAGAAGTTGGATTCTGGAACGCTCCGAGAAATGAGTATTGTCTTGAATGGCGTCCACACCATTTCGCAATCTGTAAAGCTCGAGTATCTCAAACCACAAACCATATGCTCAACTTCAGCTGGCCTCCCTGTTAATCTCAATCAAGAAAATTATTTACGGATTTCCGCAGCCTCCGGTTCGGATCTTCCTCCCATTATCAATGGGTTTGAGGTTTTTTACTTCAGGAACCTCTCTGATTCACCTACATTGTTACAGGACGGTATGTTCCCTTCCTTTAATCCTTCAAATTTTTTTTTCGTTACAAAAGCACTAGTCGTGTTTACATGTGATATTTCTTAATTGTTTTTGCAAATATGTATAGTTAATGCCGTAATGGATATCAAGAAGACGTTTAAACTATTGAACAGTGACTGGCAAGGCGATCCATGTTTGCCCGCAATTTCTGTATGGAATGGTTTAAAATGCAGCCGTAGTAATCCCCCAAGAATAATTTCGCTGTGAGTGCATCATTTTAACGTAGCAAACCCGTCCTTGTCCCAAATTATCCATATAATTTCTCATAAAATTGTGAAAGCAGGAACTTGAGCAGCAGCGAGTTAACAGGAGAGATCCCATTTTCCCTTTCCAATCTCACTCAACTGGAGRCTCTGTAAGYATTTCATTATTTTGGAGTTGAATTATAATTTATATTAAACTCGATTGACAAAACCGAAATACACTTAACTGTACCTTGATTTTTAATCTTCGACCTGCTTTGCTTCTTATAGGGATTTATCCTACAATGACTTGAGTGGATCACTTCCAGAATTTTTAGCGCAACTACCTCATTTGAAAATCCTGTAAAATAATTTTGTTGACTTTCAGTTCCAAATTGCATGTACAACCTTTTGCAGGATTGGTTTTGATTGGATCAGTGATCATGTTGACAATTTTTTTTCAGCCATTTAGCTGGGAATAATCTTGGTGGCTCAGTTCCTGCGGGGCTTCTTGTGAAATCTAGAGATGGAGTGTTGGATTTGAGGTCTAACTTATATTCTCCAAAATTCTACACAACATTCTTATTATTTTCGTTACTTTCCTTCTATTTTTGTGATAATAGCTTCCCACTTATCTTCTTCCTCTTGTTGCGTTGCATGCAGTGTGACTGGTAATCCAGAACTCTGTTTGTCACCTCCTTGCAAGCATAAGAAGAATTCTGTTGTTCCTGTTATCGTTGCTGTCGTAGCAGCCGTCGTCCTTGTAATCAGCTTGGTCTTACTTACAATCCACATAAGAAAAAAGAGAAGTAAGCCATGTCACTTCTTGGTGCTGCTTTTTTGCTTCTGATGATAAGTATTGTGCCTCACAGAGAACTTAGACAGAGGAAAGATCTAATTGCGAACTTTGAAATGAAATTTCATAATTTCAAAATATTAAAAGTTTTGTGGATGATTTACTGTAGAGAATGCGATGAAGTCAAATGAGAAAATTTCGTTGAAGCAGAAAAACCGAGAGTACAGTTACTCTGAAGTTGTGAGTATTACTGATAATTTTAGACACGCCATTGGAGAAGGAGGATTTGGGAAAGTATATCTAGGTGCACTGGAAGATAAAACTCTAGTTGCTGTGAAGCTGCTCTCATCAACATCAAAGCAGGGCTACAAGGAATTTCAAGCTGAGGTTATAAATAATATGTTCTAATCAATTACAGAACTTTTTTTTTTTCCAATTCTGATTGGATTCTTATGACAATGCTATAGGCACAACTCCTAATGATTGTTCATCATCGAAACTTGGTTTCTCTGGTTGGATATTGCGACGAGGGTAACACCAAGGCGCTCATTTATGAATACATGGTCAAGGGAAATTTGCAGCAACACATATCTGGTAATATCTATGTTTTATGCTGAAACTTCACATTCTGACTCACTTATGACTGATAAAACATAAATTTTGGGTCTATGGTGGCAGTATCAGCTGGCCTGATATCATTTTTTTTTCCCTTTCCTTCCTCAATCTTACATAATGAATACAAGAAAATCCTAGAACTCTGAGTTTGTTTAGCAGAGGAGGTCTTGGTACAAGTGTCTTCAAGAGTTATGTGAATGATACATCAAGCATTTTTCAGAGGGGGCTAATTAAAACTAAAACTAATAGATTTGGTTTTGGCTGCAGATACAAACACAAATGTTCTGAGTTGGAATGGAAGACTTCAAATTGCAGTAGATGCAGCACATGGTTACCAGCTCATCCTCCTCTAAATTTCTCACTTTTCTTCTTCATTATTATTATCTCTTAATTAATTTCTTTTCCCCTTTATCCTCTTCTGAGGATGTTTCAGGGCTTGAGTATCTACACAATGGTTGCAGGCCACCAATAATTCACAGAGATTTGAAACCTGCTAACATATTACTAGATGATTCAATGCAGGCCAAAATAGCTGATTTTGGGTTGTCTAGAACTTCTCCAACTGAAAGTCAATCTCAAATTACAACAAAATTAGCTGGAACACTAGGGTACCTTGCTCCTGAGTAAGTAGTGTAATTTAGTTTCATCTTCGACATGTCTAAGATTGATATAATACACTTTTTCTTTTATTTTTGTTTCCTCAGAAGTAAAGCATGTGGAAATTTAAATAAGGAAAGTGATGTTTATAGCTTTGGGATAATCTTGTTTGAGCTGACCAGTGGATTCCCTCCAATAACAAGGAGCTATAATGGAAATTATACTCACAGTCTAACCCCATTGATTAGACAAAGGCATGGCATATCTATTAGATAAACTTGCGTTTATTTGACATGACATGACAGAAGGATATGGGCAACTAGTCAAAATAGAACAACATGTGCAACATACTCTCTTTTTGAAACATCTGCCTATTAAACTCCTTTTTTGACTATGCAACTGTTTCTGTAAACTAACTAGTTCCTTCTGTCCCTTCTACCACATCGTGTCGAGTCAGCCAACATTTTTCCCATCCCATGGGTATAACATATCATTATTAGTTAACGGCTGTAATGCTTAGGAGTTAGGACTAATAAAATCACAATTCAACATAACTAAAACATTATAAGATATAGAGACTGCATAGACACAAATATCAAACTACTCAAGCAGAATTCAATGTTAGAAGTGTTGGGTTATCTGTTATGAAGTGTCCCAAAGGAGCATATCTTGTGTACAGAAACTAATGAATTGAAGCATATAAATGTGTTGCAGGACTAATTTATCGGGAAACGTCACCAAGGAAAGTGATGTTTACAGCTTTGGGATTGTCTTGTTTGAACTGCTGACTGCCAAGCCGGCTATTATCAAGGGATCTGAGTGCGACATCCACATAGTGGACTGGGCTAAGCCTCTGATTGCAGATGGAAACATCCAAAACATTGTCGATCCGAGGTTAGAAGGCTCAATAGAAAGCTCTTGTGCTGGAAAATTTGCGGAGTTGGCTCTATCATGTACACTGCCAACTAAAGCTGAAAGGCCAAACATGAGCGATGTGGTGTCACAGCTCATTGCATGTCTGAAGATGGCTCAGGACACAGCCCCACAGATCCGACCTAACAACACTGAGAACTCTTACAACTCAATTGGCTCTGATTCATTACTTAGTCCCAGATAGAGATCAAACAGATGATCCAAACTAATAAAGATGGGCAATTAGCAATATATGTCTAAAAGTATAGGGTAATGGACATGTATAAATAAGGGCTTAGAAAGATATTGTTTTCGTTTTCAGGCTCTACTGAACTGTGAATTTCATTTTGTATTTATTGTAAAACATGTATATAAATAAGAATGGAGATTGAGTTTTATAATTTGACAATTGAGTCACCGTTCGCTTTGGGTTATGGTTGGAATATTGTCTCAATACTTTTACAAATGTAATCCCTATGTTTTTACATTTAGTTTCAATTTGTGTTGTACGGTTTAGCTTATTTCAATTTGGCTGTCATCTATGTCAGAAAATTGTCTTGTTTAACTATATTTTTTTTATATAAAATATTCATATTCTCGTTGTTTTGGTTTTTCTATTTTTGGTTTTCTGTTTTTCAAAAACAAACACCATATATGTTTTGATAACCATTTTTTATTTTTTATTTTTAAAAAACAGAAAACTGTTTAGTAACCACTTTAATTTACAATTTTTAAGAAATTGAAAAATTGAAAATGCATCTTAGAACGAGAAAATTCTATGTAGGATAAACATGACAATAGTGTGGGTGCGAGTGAGGATGTTCTCCTCCATTCTCGTGCTCGTGAAAATTTTTAATCCTCGTCTCCATCTCATTCTTCTGTCTGAAAGATGTTCTCGAGAAAAATTAACAGTTTTATAATTGTTTTTAATTATTTTTAGAATTTAAAAAATTGACTAAATTATTACCAATTTGAAAGTACAATAGTTAATTATATAATAAAAATCAGCACTTATATTTGATTGGGTAGGGACTAAATTATTACAAATTTTAAACTATAATGTTACATATTAAAATTCAATTACTAAATTGTTACTAATTTAAAAGTACCTTAGCCAAAAATTATTTTTAATCCTAAAATAATACTTTACAAATGTTTTTCTAAAGTAGAAAATAATACATCAACAAGACAGGGAGATAACTTAATGCATGCACCCATCTAAAACATTCATGATATATATACAAACATATAATAACCATAATTTCTAAGGCGTATGGACTACCTTGCAAAAGGGGCTATTTCCGATTCAGAAAGAAATCGCGTCGATATGATACGAGTTTGTGTTGTATTGCTTTGATTGACTGCCAAACACTCCTTAAGCTCTTCCAAAACATAACCCATTTCTGGCCTCTTAAGTGCAGTTGGTTGTGTGCATGACATGGCAAGTTCTACAATTCCCCACGCAGAGTTTTGGTTGAACTGTCCCCCTAACTTGAGATCAATAATGTTTTGAATATCTCCTGTTCTGATCATTGGTTCCACCCAGTTCAGTATGTGAAAATTTCCTTGAGAAGATCTTGTTACTGCAGGCTGCCCAGTGATCAACTCAAGCAAGATTATCCCAAAGCTATACACATCACTCTGCTTATTTACATTTCCACATGTTTGAGTTCTATGTAGAGAGAGAAAACCACAGAAGAACAGATTCAAAGTCTGTCAAAATACAAGAACCCAAAATGAGAGAAATTTAAAAATTAATTGGGTCACTTATTTTACTTACCCAGGATCAAGATATCCAGGTGTACCAGCGATTCGAGTTAAAAGTTGAGACCCATTTTCAGTTGCAAAAGTTCTAGACAATCCAAAATCAGCTATTTTGGCTTGCATTGTCTTGTCTAATAATATGTTTGAAGGTTTCAGGTCTCTATGGATAATTGGGGGTTTGCAACCATTGTGTAGATATTCCAATCCTGTAAAATATGCATGCCAGAGATTTTTCTTTTATTTATACTTCAGCAAATTTTTGAGAAACAAGACAACAAATATTTAATTCTTCTTACTAACCTTGTGCTGCATCCACTGCAATTTGAAGTCTTCCAGTCCAACTAAGAGTATCTGTATTTGAATTCGTATTCGTATTTGTGTCTGCGTGGAGAACATATAAAGCTTATTGAATGTGAAGCCATTTAGCAATGTCAGAAGTGAATCTCAGTAGAGAATGTAAATGATAACAGTACTTGATAAATATTGCTGTAAACTGCCATTGGCCATGTATTCATAAATAAGTGCCTTGTGATCGTCTTCATCACAGTATCCAAGAAGAGAAACCAAGTTGCGATGATGAAGAATCATCAGTAGTTGTGCCTGCTTTTCAGGTGGATTTGGACATTTTATCAAATGGCTGACATGGTATAATGAAATGAACTAGGGAATGGAATGCACCTCTGCTCGAAATTCTTTGTAGCCTTGCTGCGATGATGGAGAAAGCACCTTCACTGCAACCATGGTTAAGTCTTCTAGAGCACCCAGATAAACTTTTCCGAATCCCCCTTCTCCAATAACCACTTCAAAATTATCAGTAATTCTCACCACCTCTGAATAACTGTACCGTTGGTTCTTCAATTTCAGTGATCCTTGGTGTTCCGGTTCAACCAAATTCTCTAAGGAAATAATAATCAATTTTTCAGCAGGCATGCTAAATCTGATAGCATCAATTCAAGGACTTTTTACCAAACTACCATTGTAAATGAATAAAAGAAGTCACGCAACATGCCTTTGGTTTTTCTTGTATAGATTATAATGACCCCCAAGAGGATGATGATGATTACAAGGACTGCTACGACAGAGCAGAAAATAGGAATTCCAATTGCCAACTCCTTTTTGTGGTTGCATGGAGGTGACAAGCAGAGTTCCGGATTTCCTTCCACACTAAATCAAGAAGATGAATAAATGAACAAGAGAAAGAATCAATGTTGTATCGAATTTGAATTTTCAAATGATGAGGTCACCTTAAAACCAAAGTTCCATCTTTAAACTTTTTGAGAAGAGGCTCCGGAACTACGCCGGTGAGATTATTCCCACTTAAGTTACTAAGCAGAGAAGTAACACAGTTGACATATTATATATTGTAGGGCTATTGCCGGAGACAAGATATTCATGATAATATTAAAGGTACTATTTATTGGAATAAGGTTAAATTACAAGTTTGTCCCTAAAGTTTTGTGTTTAATAGGCCCTTAAATTTTAAAAAGTGTTTAATACCTCAAACTTTCAATTGTTTGTTTAATACGTAATAAAACTTTCAATGTTGCATCTAATAAGTCTAAACTTTCAATTTTGTGTCTAATAGGTCCCTAAATTTTCAATTTGTGTCAATAAGTCCAAAAACTTTCATTTCGTGTTTAACATTTTTTAAAATTCACAAAAGTATTTGACACGAAATTAAAATTAGGGTATTTAAACACAATTCAATTTTTATGTATAATAGATCTATTAATCTTTTACAGATTTGGAATATGTCAAGGACTTAATAGACATAAAATTGAAAGTTCATAGATTTATTAGATACTTTTAAAGTTCAAGAACTTATTAAATACAAAATTAAAAGTTTAAGGACTTATTAAACACTTTAAATTTCAAAAACCTATTAGACACAAACTTGAAGGCTCAGGAAACTAAACTCATAAATTTAACCTCGAAAGAATGACGAGATTATTGGTGATAAGTTATCTTACAGAAGTTGCAGTTGTGGCAACAGCACCAAGGATTCTGGTATTGCCCCTTCCAATTCATTGTAGGATAGATCTCTGAGAAACAAGTAAACACGTGAATACATTCATGTGGATACAATCTTGCTGCTTAATTTTTTAAAACAAGAACAAACATTGTTGGAGCAGGGGAATGAAGTACTTACAAGTACTTGATTGCATTGAGAGTGGAGATGGAAGATGCAATATCTCCAGTCAAGTTGCTGCTGCTCAAGTTACTGCCAAGACACGTAATAACATCAGAGTAAAATTAATGAATTGTTAAGGAGAGGCTTTTGGGTGAGAAGTTTTACAGTGAAATGATTCTAGCCCAAGGGTGGGCACTGCTGCAATTCAAACCCTCCCATGAGAATGCAGGTGGGCCACAAGGATCGCCTTCCCAATTTCTCCTAAGCTTGTAATGTTGTTTGATGTCCCTTATTGCATTCACTACATATACATATAGTGAGTCATGAACCTCTTAGCAACCACAGAACCAACACACATGAACTAGGTACAGATAACAAGTCAGCAAGAAACGCACACTCTATAAAGCAAATAAGCCAAGAATCAAAGATTTAATGGTTCGAATATGTCAGTCTACATCCACGGAAGAAATAACTCAGACCTTATTTTGATTCATTAGCCAAGAACTAACATCCCTCAGATATAAATATAAACATATAACATGGCTGTTCATTTAGTTCAGTTGAAAGAATAGGATAGGATAGGAATGCTATTAGGATAGAGTTACGGCTATGATTAGGATATTAAGGGTATATTAGTAATTAGTTACAGAAGTTGTCACTGAGGATTTGTTATAAATAGAGGGAGGGGTCAGTAAATAGAGTGAGGGGGCCGAAATGATGAAGGTAGGCAATTGATTTAAGAGAGGAGGAAATGGTGCATGTACCTCAAATTACTCGAGAGTTATTATGGTTGTTCTAACTTTTATATTTCGATATATTTCTAGTTGTTTGGGTTCTCTATCACAATCCTAACCCAACCTTAATCGAGACACACAGGCACTGTAGAAGCCCGTAGGAGGGAAAAATCCAACATCTCCTTCAGGAACAATCAACGAGAATCTCCTCCCCTTGGCTCTACTGCCACAACACAACATTTTCCACTGGCATTGACTACCAACTGAAACCAGAACAGACCTTCAGTGTTCGCCTGCTTCTAAAGAACTTCTCAGCTTTAAAGCACAAACCAAGGGCCCCAAAAACAATCTCTAACCCATGCCACCAACCACAATCCCAAACTCCCTTGCATTAGTTTTTCCCTAAAAAATCTCCTCAATCTCGATTTTATTCCTGAATCCTTCCTACGAAAAAACAAATCACTTCCTGTCCACCCTCAAGGTGAGGGTAGGGTCTTTTCTGACTCTCGTTGAGAGAGAGAGAAAACAAAAAAAAAAACTCCCGATTAATACGTAGGATTGAAAATCTTAAGTAACATCTTATATTATTGATAATGTACAGAGCATAAGAAGAAGAGAACGTACCATCTTGGGAGAAGGTGAGTGGATTTGGATTCTCCGTGGTACAAAAAACCTCAAGCCCATTGAGGATAGGAGGCTAGACGGAGAGGTTGCATAAATGGAAAGTTTATTGAGTTGGTTGGGAATCACAACGTAGCCTTTTGAGCAAAAGGTGTGCGGTCTGAGATATTGGAGGAGTTTAACGGATTCTGTGATGGTATGGACATCGTTCAACACGATCCTCATCTCCCGAAACTGCCCAGCCTCAAGCTTCTCAATCTCCGCAAAATGAAAGCAAAAGTAAAATCGAGACCACGTTTCATCGGGCGTCCAGGTATACTCCAGTGGAGAAGTCGAATTTCTGGCTCGACAAGCCGTCTGTAACAACGACTGTGGCAAGTTGTATGGATCATCGTCGTTGCTCTCGGTACTGGCCGCATTTGTGGACACTAAGCGACTATTATTATAACCTAACATGTCGCATTGGTAACCTGACCATAACCGATCATAAACATCTTGCGGGTATCTGCATTGCATTTGCACATATACGTACAGAATCAATTCAAAGGGAAACTAATGTATGGGCTGGTGATCTCAAAACATAACTAATGAGTAGAGTCTTACCCGAACTGTTTGCTGCCTCCAATGTCGAGTCGTGTCCAACGTACCGAGAATTTGGCGTTGTCCGTGGGATCGATTCGATAAAGGGAGATGTCCAGGGGCCGTAATTTCATGGCGGAAATGTAAGGCACTCCATTATTTGTATTAACCAAGCAGACCTCGATGTAATCTGTGGGTGTGGAAGGGATAGTAATGGCGTCCAGACTTACGCTATCCAGATCCACCGTTGCCCAGTAGTTGGCGCCGAGATAGAGGTCAAAATTGGGGGTGGAATTGAAGCCATCGTAATTGCCATACACAAAGGAAGCTCTGATGAGATATTTGGCGATCGTGCCTGCTTCAGCTTCACCTTCTGGTTGAAGACGATAGCAATTCCTTGTGCCGTTTGGAAAGCTTCTTAAGTTCAAGTATGGTGATTGCCATTGGGAACGAAATTCTTTTGCAATTTGTCTGCCGATTCCTGAGTCTATCAAATCCTTGTCTGATTTATAAACCAACCCCTCCACTGTGTTTCGCACGTCTCCAGATGCACCACAAGCGATGTTGATGAAACCTAAAATTTCAAATTTAGCACATTGGCTTACTTGAGGACATATGTCTTAGTAGAAATTTAGTGCAGAATAAATGTCAGTCATATTAGAAAATTCAAAAATTTTACCCGTTTCTATAAATTTAGAAGAGAGATTACGGCCGAAAGCCAGCACGCCTCGACAATCATTCGCATATATATCCCACCGTCAGTTCGACCCCGGTCTTACATGTTGTAATTAAAACAAAAATAAAAGAGAAATTACAAAACTCCTCTATTAGATAATCCTTTTTTTACCAATTTTAATTTTAGTTTTACCTATCATGGGATTAAATTGAAAAATATTAAAACGTAAGATAATTATTAAAAAAACACTCGTATAATTAACCTAAATGAAAATTATAATGGTGGAAAAACTAATTTTCATATTTGTGAGTTTGTTATAAAATATACCACTGATATATTTAATTTAAATTAAAGTAAATGGCTAATATGTATATATCATTAATATATGAGTTCTTTTTCCCAAAAAAAAAATTAATATATGAGTTCTTATATTTATGTTATTTTTACATAATACCCTATCGTGCGACTAATTATAATATTATCTTCACATAAAAAGAATATATGTTACAATATTATTATTTAGGTTAAATATATTATTAGCCTCTTATCTTTTAATTATATTATTTTTGTTAATAAAGGTGTTAATTATATTATTTTTGTTAATAAATGTTGTAATAATTAGATGATGGTAAACTCTATGTGCAATAAAACTTGCATAAATTTAAAAGAAAGTGATACTAAAATAATGTTTAAATAACTAATCAAAAGTGTCTAGCTCAGCAGTAATTGACATATATCTCTAATTAAGATATGGTAAATTGTATCCCCACGCCTTATTGTAAAAAAATAATAATAATAACCAATTAAAAGTGTTCTACTAAAATAATAAATAAATAAAATAACCCATGGAAGGTTGTTTTACTTTAAAAACGGTTAAAACTGCCTTTAACCCATAAAAATACTTTATTTAAAAAAAAACACCCTAAAAGTACTTTTAAACAAATTTATCCGTTTTAGTTTGACAATTCGAAGTAATTTTATAAATTCTTAAAACATAATAAGTGCTTCGAGGGAAGCACTTAATCAATATTTTTCTGAAGTGTTTTCATTTGTTATTATTTTTTTTCAAAATTCATGGCTGGCTCATTATAGTAATACTCCTAAAAAATACTTTAAAAAATTGATTGTTTTATTTTTTGTCAAAAGGGTCTGCAATCAAATATACATATGTAATTTTTAATCGTGAACTTGATAAGATGAGTCAACTTTATCTTAAACATTTAATTTCATCAAATTGTATCTTAAATTTAAATAACTGTTGTAATCTTCATCCTGAACTTTAAAATGTGTTGCAATTTTGACCTTGTAATAAGTTTTCATTTGAAATTTTGCTGAAAAAGATATTCTCATTTGTCCTGGATGATTTATAAGCATTGCTATGAAATGACATTAGAGTGGAGGTTTTTTTTCCTTAAAAAAAAAGTAATTGTAAATTTTGACAAAATTAGTTAACTGTCAATTTTATATACTAATCAAATTTAATTGTGTGCAAACCTTGATTTTCACAAATTTAGTGAGTTGTTTTTTTGGAATTTTTAACCTTTTTTTCTTGTTGCGGTAAAAATTAGTGGGTGAATGAGGAAAAATTGAATAGATGGTAATAATGGTAAGAATGAACTAAGTTTAGAGTTAAATTTAATGAAATTGAAAATTTAGAGAAAAAATTAATAGAACAGGTCAAATTTAGGTGCAAAATGATTTTTTTGTTCTCAACAGATATTTAAACTAAAAAATAGTGTGACTATGTTTAATTTGTTCTTAAAATATTGAAAAGAGAAAAATACTCTTCTAGTCAATCAATGTTGACTTTAATTTTTTATTTGGTCCATAGATTTCAATATGTTACACTTTTTCCCTTGAATTTTGAATTTAATTTTCATTTGATCATTCAATTTTGAGTTTAGTTTCCGTTTGATCCCTCGGTTCGAAAATATTTTACTTTTTTTCGGATAAAAAAACTATTGTACTTTTACTTTTAAATGTTTAGTTTAGTTTCATTTGGTCTCTAAACTTCAAAATGTTACACTTTTATCCAACTATTTTCATTAATACTTATTTTTGGTTATTAATAACTCTAGTAATTTTTTTTTTAACAATATGTGAGGGTGGGAGATCGAACTCACAATCTCATGATTGGAGGTATATGCCAATTAAACTATGCTCGTTTTGGCCTTAATAAAATGTTGTTTTTTTTAGAATAAGCCCTGATAAAATGTTGTTGGAATGCTAAGGAATACATTATCATTGAATGCCAAGGAATAGATTAATATTGATAAGCTCACGTGATAAAAATATTTATTTTTTTATAATATTCTAATATGTGATGTGACAAAAAATATATTAGAACAAAAAAAGCTCTCCCTCACCCATTCTCTCTCCATTTTTACACTTAAATGGTTTTTTCGTACCGGCAAGAATTTGAACTCCAAATATTTTAGAATATATATCTTAACCGATTAAATTAATTATATATCTTATAAAAAGTGTACAATCCATTTAATGAATTTATTATGAAGCAAAATATCTGTAATCATTAAAAAGAAATAGTATCACATATATTTGTTAAAGTATTTGGATCCGTCTTTTGTTTCACCCCTCAACATATTCATTTTTTTATTACATATTATGGACAGTACTCAATGATTTTTATGAATGGAAAAGTAATGGAGTATTGTATACGCTTAGTTTTCATATATGTGTTTGGTAACAGATTCGTAACTGAGTCTCAATTTAAAAATTGTTCAATCTATTTTAGTAATATATTTCTAAACTATAAGTAATTACTTTTAGTTTAATATAAACTTATATTAATTAATTTATTAACATTTATTTATGAATTTTGTATAATTATTATTTAAGAAGGTTATATAATTTAGAATATGTTCTATTTCACATGTTTGAATTTTAATAAATATAAAATGAATTTATAATATGAAATAATTTATTTATGGAGTAATTCTACGTCTTACAAATTCATAAAAAAATTTGTTTTTAATTTCTACTGCTTACATCATAGAACCCGAAAAATTTTAAAACATAAATCTCTAAAATTCTGTGAAACATATATTCATTTGAATCCATTTGATTGAGTTCATCGGAAAGGAAAAGACTTTCCAACCGGCCCTTATTTTATGGACTTTATTCCCGTTCCAACAACAATACTAGTAGCTGATTTTTAGTTTTGGTATTGAATGTTGTTGAAAGACGGAGGAACTTGGAAGTTGCAGAAACCAAATAGAACTTAGAAGGCCTTTCAAATTTGATACCTGGAACTTCATCGGCGTGGACGAAGACGACGAAGCCGATAGCCAAAAAACACAGAGAGAGCACAGAAACCAAGCTCGGTTCAATTTCCACGCCCATGCCCATGGCGACGCCAAATCAACCAATTTTAGGTTAGGTATTTCGATCCCTAATTTTCTCTTATTTATAACCAAACCAAATCACTGTTCCTCATTCAATTCTCGCTCTCGCTCTCCATTTCGCATTCAATTGCTGGTTGGAATAGGACGCTTCGTTGACGGATTCCTTCAACTTGACTTCAAAATTACAAATATATATCAAAATCCAAGAATTTAAGTGAAACGTACGAAGATTTTATTTCATTTTCTGAGTTGATGGCGATCCTTTTCCGTGAATTTTGGTCTTCTCTTGCTCTCTTCTCTTCTGCAATTCCAACTCGAAAGCGCAGGGGACAATAAGGACCACAAAAACTGGGGTTTTGAGAACTAGCCCTTTCTCGGGGCATAATTTATTTGAGTTTTCCAACCTTTTTTTCCGTGTAAATACCTTCTTCCAAAGAAAAGTAAATCCATAATTTCACAGAAAAATAACATACGCAAAATATATAGTTTTTGAGAAATAGACATATTTGATAACTTATCCCATTTTTTCGTTTTTCCATTTCTTTTTATTTTATCGCGTGGAGCACTTTTAACTTAAATATTATATATTATGCTTATTTAATCAAAATTCACGGTGGTATGGTGGCACTTATGTTTTACCTGAATTCCATATATTTGTATTGGGTCCACATTCGATTATACTTGAAGCACTTTTCTTTTTCTTAAACAAAAATATATTTTCCATTTCCAAAACTGAAAATATTTTGAAAAGTTACTATTAATTTTTAAAATTTTATATTTTCTAATATTTAAATTAAAATATTTTGAAATTTTATCATTTATTTAAAATATTATTTTTTCCTAAACAAACTAGTTTTTAAATTAAAAATATTTTAAAATTTGATTCAAACTTAATAATTTACACTTCTATGTTAAATTAAGCTTTCATGGAGTGGCCAAAATTCTAATTATTCAATCTTTTTTATTAGGCCATCCATGTTTAAGTTCAAAATGAAACCATACTTGCTATGGTAAAAATGTGGGTGGTTCTGTTGTAGTCGTAATAAAAGTATATCATATACATATATSAATAGTCAGATATATTAGTATATCGTTTGAGTAAAGTTATCATTTTAACATTAGACTTCCGTTTTTCTTGAAAAAAATTGCTATTGAAAAAACAAAATGTGGTTATTATTTATTTTTGACAATAATGTAGTTACTATTTTGCTAATCCTACTAAATGTTTTTTTGCCATATTTACAACTATCCTTATTTTTCTATGCTAATTAGGTTTTACATTTTTCTTTCAAGTAAGATGCATGTTATTTGATTATGACCTCTCTAATCTCTTGTATTTTTAAAATTTTGATTAATTTTTTATTTTTATTTTTTGATTGAATCAAGATTGAGATATAAAATTATATTAGCCTTTGAACGTTGAGCCTTGTTCACGGGACAAATTTCATGAATTTTTTGTATTTAGTATTTTTTGGTCAGGTTTTAAATTTCAAATAAGATGAGTGAAATTTATTTATTAAATTAGTTTAATGATTAATTTTTTACAACTAATTTAGAGGTTGAGTACTTAATTATAAGCTTATATTAGGGAGATTATGCTCCAAATTTTCGCAGTACTCAATAAAAAATTTGAATATATAGAGTAAAATAAAATTAAGAATTTTTAATAGGTTAAAAAATCCAAATTATGCTCCAAGTCGTCTCGATATGGACTGGACATTGATGTCTGATTCTTGGCGTCGTCTTCTTCTTCTTTCTCTCAAGCTCCGATTGAAACGGCAGTGGCCAGAAAGAGATCAATCAATCACAGGCTCATCAGAGATGAGATGCTACAGGAGTTTCCAAACCCTAGAACACACCACACAGATATCTGCTCAATTTTTGGAAGCTTCAGACACTATTCGGGTAATCCGTAATCGGCGCAGACTCTTGAATTCTATTACTTTTACTCCAATATATTACCCACCTTTCCGATCTTTTTTTGATGTTTCGATGATGCCGGACAGGTGTCTGATTGTCTTCTTCTTCGATGGACCCCATCGTTGGCTGAAATTTCTTACGCCATTGCTGATTGCAGCCGGTGACTTTCGAGTCTTCTTGCACATGCCAACGCCTCTTGGTCCTGGACCTATTCATCCTTATTTAACCTTATTTCATTTTTTTTTTCGTGCGTGACAATTTTAAATTGTATCATTTTTTTTTTTGTATTTTGCATTTTCAAGAGGTAATTTGTTGAATAATAGATGTCAAACGACCCGATCATTCCATTGTTCCGATAGCTAATTAATTATATTTCCTTTCAGAAGTTTGCACGTTGTTCTATTTATCCAATCTAGTTTAATGATTTTGTTTTTTCTAATTATTTGACAAAACGTGTCAAAAGGGACTCATTAATTGTAGTTTTCTACTACTAATTAATGAAGAACTGGTTTAATATAATTGAGGACTATTCTTCTTCTATTTTCTTTTTCAAATTTGACGTTTTGCAATTCCAGAGCCTTTCAAATTTGACGCGGTTTAAAGGGATGTCTGACTTTTCTCTGGGAAAGATTTTCTTTTATTTTCTTTGCCTTCTTGTTCTTGGGTGTACCGCTAATGGCCACACGTAGGATTTTATACGGAAAAATACTACTTGAGTGTGAACATCACCATTTCTAAAAAAAAAAAAAATCTCTATCTTTATATTTCTGGCTCTTATTTATAGAAAATTTGATGGTGGTGGTGCGAACACCAGTCAACAGATCGGCCTGGGAACGGAGAAAGAACAAAAGAAGTATCCTTTTTCGGCATTTACTGATGATTAGACGTCCCTTTCAATATGGAGTAGTCCCCAACTAAGCAGAGGCAGCAAGTTCTAAATCTGCTGGATATTTGCTCCTTGAATGGTCTTGTGTTATTTAGTGCTTTAACTTATGGTTTTAGTTGGAAATGGTCGGCAAGTTTCAACTTCAAGCACCAAGTTTTGTCTTTTATTGAAAGCTTGGCTCGTCTTTTTCTGGGTGTTGGGTATCCTCTGCAACTCCAGACTAGCTGCCGGATCCAACAGACATGGCGGCCGGAAACTTGCTACAGACAGCCCTGCCGGTGAGTTGGTTGATTAGAATATTAAGTTCTCTTGACAGATTCTTGACTTTTCTTTCATCTTCCTCTTCTGGAGTATCAACTTTGAACTTGTATTCAATTATATGTTCTTTCAAGCAAGCAATTGAATGTAAACGGATTCTGGTTTGTTCTTGTTCTCGCTGTTAAGAAGATCTGATTTGTTCATTCCATATACTCACATCTCACTTGTTATTCTTAGTTAGAACTTACGGGGCTGGTTAATAAAATATTTTAAAATCTGGAATATGGAAATAGAAAAAACAAGTATACATGGAACGCTGGGTACAAGCAGAAGATCATGGAGCAAAGCAAAGTTGTTTTTGCCTTTTCGGGTTGCACTTCCAGTTCCATTTTAATTCACATATCTCTATATTGATAAGAAAGTATCTACTTTAGACCTAATTCTGTGCGAATTTACTTCTGGACTCTATACAAAAATCTTCCTAGGGAGACAATGAGACTCTTTTTCTGGGACTTCTGCTAGCGAGTGGAAATATACATCTTATTGATTTCCTACTCTCAAACATTTATACTAGGTTTTATTAGCATTGACTGTGGAGCAACTGAAGATCATACGGATAATGTTACCGGCATATTGTATAAATCAGATAAAGACTTTGTAGATACAGGAATCAGCATGCCAATTTCCGCTAACATCTCTAAAAATCTCCGGCCGGAGCTGAAGAATGTAAGAAGTTTTCCTGAAGGGAGAAGGAATTGTTATGTCCTAAGTCCTGAAAAAGGGAAGGATAACACTTACTTGATTCGAGCTTCCTTTCTATATGGAAATTATGATGGAAAGAACAACACCCCTATCTTTGATTTATACCTTGGGGCCAATCTGTGGTGGACAGTGGACTGGGACAATGGATATGTAGAGACCCTCTATACCCCTTCCACAGATTACATTAGCGTCTGTCTTTTCAACACTAGCAAAGGGGTGCCTTACATTTCAGCATTGGAGTTGCGACATCTCGATAGTTCCATTTATCAAACCCCAGCCAAGGCACTAGTTACGATGCAGCGTTTTGACATTGGCGGCAAGTCGAATTTAAGGTAACTTGCATTTGGTGATTTTGTTTAGCTCCCCCTGTTCTATGTAATAAACTGAATGTTGGATGATGGATCTTACAGTATCAATGTAACAGTTTTAAATGTTGGGTCTCTTTTTGTTGACTTATTTGCGATTTTGTAAACTAGATTCCCAGGGGATGTTTATGATCGAATTTGGAACCCCTTGAATGTTGACACACTGAATTCCAGTTCCACCAACTCCACCATAAGCCAGGGAAATAATGATGTGTACAAGATACCGAATGTATTGTTGCAAACTGCTGCAAAGGAACAGAATGCCACATGCTCCTTGAGCTATTTCTGGGAAACCAAACCTTCAAATTCGCAGTTTTATGTTTACTTTCACTTTGCTGAGGTCGAGAGGCTTCAAGGGAAACGGAGGAGATTGAAGATTGATTTGACTGGCCAAGGAAATGCAACAACAATTGCTTCACTTGATTACTTAAAGCCCCTGTCTGTCAGTCTAAATGGCACGCCAGATACTGCAGGCCAACTGCAGTTTTCAATTTCCGCTGCTGAGGGATCAGACCTCCCTCCATTATTGAATGGCTTTGAGATATATTCTGCAAAAGAGATGCAAAATGCATCAACAGTTTCTGAAGATGGTATATGTCTTCTGTTCTTGTCTGTGTTTCCTTATCTTATTTTGTGTGGACATTAGCTATTTTTTAGGATGCTGGAGCCACATTGACTAATTGTTTACATATTATGCTGCATGTTTTTTTTTTTTTTTTGTGAAAGAAACAATTTCATTGATAATATGAAATTACAAAAGAGATAACAAAGACTCAAAGAGGGTATTATGCTGCATGTTAGGACCAAAAGAGATATTACCATGATTAGCTGGTAGATTAGAATCGCCATTCCTTACCTAATAAGGTCATATTACTGAGCTTAGGAAGAGTCATCTCAACATTATGGATAAAGCATCATCTTGTTTCTTTTTTTTTTCCCCTCTTGCTCTCGACTTATTGTCATTCAATCTCCTGTTTGCCTCTGGAAACAATAGCCGATGCTATGGTGGGTGTCAAGCAAACATTCAGATTGATCAGGAACTGGCAAGGGGATCCATGTTTTCCTAGTGATTTATTATGGGATGGTTTAAACTGCAGCAACAATAGTCCCACGAGAATTGTCTCAATGTGAGTGCACTCTTAAATCATCAAAAGTTGCTAGTAAGCGTGAATTTGAACTGTATATATTACTTCTCATTGTGGATGAAACATTGTGAAACACAGAGCCCATGTATGAACCCTGAAGCGGATAACATTTGTCTTCTTGGTAGTTTAGGGGAATGCGCAAGTTTCTAATAGTTTCTTACTCATATGATTGCATCTTTGTAATAAAATCCTCTCTTTTGTCTTGCAAGCAGAAACCTGAGGTCAAGCAAATTGGTAGGAGAAATTCCTGCTTCAATCGAAAATCTCCAATCATTAACGACATTGTAAGCATCCATCAAGATTTCTTGTATATCAATAACATTTATCAAATGGAAGCAGGACTGACAAAAGCACTGAATAACCAGAAAAAAAGAAAAAAAGAAAATTATTAATGGAGATTGATTTTATGTTAGCTCAATATCCTGTTTTCTATCAGGGATTTGTCCGATAATGAGTTGACTGGAGAGCTGCCAGACTTCTTAGTAAATTTGCCAAATTTAAAAATCCTGTAAGTTTCTTAGTTTTAATCCAGACATCCAGAAAATGAAACTTCGGGAGGAAATTGAAGGCTATCTATCTGTTTACTGTGTTTGCAGTAATATAACCAGAAACAAGTTCACAGGCTCAGTTCCCAAGGCTCTCTTGCTAAGAGCTGAAGCTGGATCACTTGCATTAAGGTAATCAAATTAAGTTTATTTTTCCCCTCGCTTTATTCCAAGTTCGTTCTCATTTTCTCTGTTTTCTTTACTGTCGTGTTTCCATCTTCTAATTTTATTGTTTTTATATTAAATGACAAATTAAAATTCATTTATTTAAACCTGACATCTTCTGCTTGTACAAGTGTGGGTGAAAATCCAGATCTTTGTGCATCACTTAAATGCTATAACAAGTGGAAGAAGTACTTGGCTCTCATAATCCTCTCCTGTATAATAGCTGTCCTCCTACCTATTCTAGTGGTTGCTTTGGTAATCTACAAAAGGAGAAAACAAAGAGGCAAGTCTCTCATCTCTTCTGCTTCTGTTTCTACAGTTTATAGCTGTTCATAACAAATATCTTTAGATTACTAATTCCAGTTTATTTCAAGTAAAGACACTTTAACTGAGGTAAATAGGGAAAAGAATTCCTCAGTATTGATTGACTTCAAAGGTGTAGAATGTACCAAAATGTGTTTATTTTCCTTGGTGCAGAGGATCTCAGAAGATCGATTGAAGAAAGGTTACTGAAATCAAAGAATCGGCAGGTTAGGTACTCTGAGATATTGCTCATCACAGATAACTTGAAGACAACTATTGGGGAAGGAGGATTTGGAAAAGTATACTTGGGTATACTGAGTGATAAAACCCAAGTTGCTATCAAGTTGCGGTCTGCATCGTCACGGCAAGGCCCAAATGAATTCAGAGCAGAGGTTCAATTTTTTCATTGTTTAAATTTGCTTGTGCTAAATTAACTAGTATCTGATATATTTTGCAAATACAGGCTCAAATATTGACCATTGTTCATCATAGAAATCTTGTTTCTCTCGTTGGTTACTGTGATGAGGCTGAGAATACGGCGCTCATTTACGAATTCATGGCTAATGGAAATCTACGCAAGTATCTATCTGGTAATTATAATATTGTCCTAGAAAAGAAGATTTCTCTAAAATGTATGTATCCTGATGGCTGGTTGACTATATAAGATGTTTTCTCCCTCTTTTGCTGAGACAGATTCAAGCACAAAGGTCTTGAGTTGGATTGAAAGACTCCAAATTGCAGTTGATGCAGCACAAGGTGTATATAAATAGCACAAAAACTTATTAGTTCATTCTTCTTTGTTTTTTACCCATCTGGTTTCTAACATCTAGTAAACAAACTGCAGGGCTGGAATATTTGCACAATGGTTGCAAGCCAACTATAATTCACAGAGATATGAAGACTTCAAATATTTTATTGAATGAAAGAATGCAAGCTAAAATATCAGATTTTGGACTGTCCAGGGTATTTGCAAATGAAAGTGATACTCATTTGTCCACTTGCCCTGCTGGCACCTTCGGATACGTTGACCCTACGTAAGTATCAAAGATCAACGCATCGTTTCATGTTCCCCAACTAAAATGAGTAATCTGATATATTTTTGAGTCATGATTTTATGTAGCACTTGCCTTTTAATCCCATTGATCAGACAAAGACAATCAGACATTTGACGTATGTATTATATAAAATGGAGTTGATTTCGTACTACATGACAGAAGGATGTACACAACTAGTCAAAAGAGAACAACATGTGCAACACACCCTCTTTTTGAAACATCAGCCTATCAAATATCCTTTTTTGACTATGCCGCTATTTTTTTCGACTAACTAGTTTCTTCTGTCCCGTCTACCACATTGTGTCAAGCCAGCCAACATTTTTCCAATCCAATGAGTATAACATATCATTAGTTAACTATTAAAATCACAATTCAATGTGTACACAAACTAATGAATTGGAACATGTAAATCTATTGCAGGATTCATTTATCGGGAAACTTCACCAAGAAAAGTGATGTTTACAGCTTTGGGATTGTCTTGTTCGAGCTGCTGACTGCTCAGCCCGCCATTATCAAGGGAGCTGAGTACAATATCCACATAGTGGACTGGGCTAAGCCTCTGATTGCAGATGGAAACATCCAAAAGATTGTCGATCCGAGGTTAGAAGGTTCAATAGAGAGTTGTTCTGCTGGAAAATTTGCAGAGTTGGCTCTGTCATGTGCACTGCCAACTTCGGCTGAAAGGCCAGACATGAGTGAAGTGGTATCACAGCTCATTGAATGTCTGAAGATGGCTCAGGATAAAACCCCACAGATCACACCTAACGACACCGATAACTTCTCTTACAATTCGATTGGTTCTGAATCATTTTTGGGTCCCAGATAGAAATCAAACAGATCATTCTTTCTTTTTCTGAAACCCTCTTGCTTGACACATTCTTTACTGTTGCCTTCAGTTTCATTGGTGTTTCTCCAATAATGAATTGGAAAGATGAGGCTCTATTGCAAGACTTTGAACTTGGATGAAAGCTAGACTTGTAAAGTTTTAGCTGTTGGCTTTTGGTGAAGATGATCCATCAAATTTATTCTCAGCAGTGTAAATATTGGCTTTTGAGCTGGCAAAATGTAGCAGTAGTTTCTTTGTCGTCGAATAAATATATATTTTCCCATCTATTATATTATTGCCCTTTGTTGTTTTTTCCTTTTCATTTAAAAATAAAATATTTCAAAGTTATTAGTTAAATTGAAAAAATAAAAAAACACTTTTTTTTCTTTCTATTTTTCTGAATATTATTTTTTTTAAGTTATCTTAGGAAACAACTTTTCAACCATAGATAAAGATCTCCAATTTTGGAGGAAGAACCATTCTCCCCATGTGTCGGTGACAAATTGTCAATATCACGAAAACGTTAATGATATTGGACTTTTGAGAAAGGCATAAATAAGGAGAGTTGTAATGGGGGCCTATTTTGTTATATTTGTAAATATAGCATATAAAATAAGATTTTGCAATAAGGACAATTTTGTAGAGTGATAGGCGTTTATCACGTGTGTCTATCAATAATAGTTGTGCAAGATTGAAATTTGTTGATGAGTTTTTAAAAAATTATATCATGTTTGCAAAGATTTTTGTAGAGGTAGGAGATCAAACTCACCGCTGAGCTATGTTTACTTTACTTATTTGTAAAGATTTTTTACTTGTGTTAAATTTATTATTATTTTGGATCATATTACTAATATATCTAACCGTCTCTATAAATAAATTAGTAGGTAAATTAACAAATAAATAAATCATATATAAATAATAGAATCCAGAATAATTATGGGTAGAGAGCCCACATGTTTCAGAAAGCCAAAAATTTCCCAACACCATTGAATCTCTCTACCACCAACACAGACTCCAAGATTTTTTTTATTTATTTAAAAATTTCCGCCACATGCTTTAAGTTGAACTAAGAATTGGAGTCATACATTGACAACTGTCAATAGCTCAATCACCAAGGACCTAAAACTCTTCTACTCCAATTGTATTTGTTCAAACATAAAGTCAGCAGTTACCCATGTGCCCAAAATACTTAAATTTCAAGCCTGAACTTGAGAAGCTCAGGCGTATCACTCTTCTTCAGTCAACTCCGCCTTAAATTCCTGTTGGAACGAGAATTTCGATGAAAATGATTGTTGTGTCATAGATGAACTACGGTCTTGAAAGCAATTTTCTCAGGATCACGGTGCTAAATCGTATGTATGTCGGTTGCTCTCCAAAGTTAACACAACTTCGAATTCAAGTGTAGACTCGTTGAAACTGAATGGAATCAAAGAACGCACACTGGAAATTTTGACATGGTTTTTTTATTTTTACCCCCTCAGGACAAAAAAAAACTCGATTTTGTTTAAAAATAAATAAAACTTTGTCATCTTAGCGGAGTTGCCTCTAGTCGAAGCATGCCATTTATGCAACAGAGACTACCAGAAAGTTTACACTGATATGAAAAGATTTTCAATTGTGATCAGTCAACTGGCAATGTAACCTGGTTTCCAATTTCTCATGCTATAAAGGGAATTCCTCTTGTGTTGACTTTCTTTTATCATCACAGGCTTACCATATTTGCCTCAAGCTGCAGAAATGGCTGCTTTCCCAATTCTCATCATTCCATGACCCAACAACAGGAAGAAGAAGATGATGATAATGGGATCATCAGGGCATTCCCTCTTTGCTTTCCTGTCTCTTATACTTCTTGTTCAAGCTCAAGATCAGTCAGGTAACAAACTGGTTTCCTTTGTTGATTAATATATCCAACTTCTTCCAATCATCTTTATGTGTAGCAACTTGAAGTTGAAGCTTAACTTGTCCGTCATTTGTTTCTTAGGCTTCATTAGTTTAGACTGTGGATCACCTGAGGGTACGAGTTATACCGAAATGACGACCAATATTAACTACATTTCTGATGCATTCTACATAAATAGCGGCGTAAGTGAAAGCGTAGCTTTAGCATATGGAGATACCAATCCAAGGCAATTGAGGAATCTTAGAAGCTTCCCTCAAGGAGTCAGAAACTGTTACAATGTAAGCATTGTAAAGGGGACTAAATACTTGATTCGAGCGAGTTTCTTGTACGGGAATTATGATGGCCTAGATTTGCTACCGAAATTTGATCTATATGTTGGAAGTAGCTTGTGGGAGACAGTAAACATCACTGACAAAGGCATGGATGTTTTCAAAGATCTCATACATATGACCTCCTTAAATGAAGTTCATATGTGTCTGATCAATACAGGAAATGGGGTGCCCTTTATTTCAGCATTAGAATTTAGACCTCTACTCAACATCACTTATCAAAGAAAGTCGGGATCCTTATCGCTCTTCTCTCGAATGGACATCGGTTCAACAGATAATCGAGCATACAGGTATTTAAGCATTGAGTTTGCAACAAATTTACTAATGATATGCTTTAACTAACTAGTGAGATGCTGACATTATATTTTGTTCATATGGCTACTCTCTCTTTAAGATTCTCTTTTGATGTTTATGATCGCATCTGGTCATCATTTGAGGACAATGTGTTGACAAGAGAAAGCACCAATCTAACTGTAGATGCTATTCGGCGTGACGGTTACCAAATGCCATCCGTTGTCATGAAAACTGCTTACACTCCAATGGGAATTGGGTGGGAAGCAATGGAATTTGGATGGGAGACAGTAGATTCATCTCAATATTATGTATTTCTGCACTTTGCTGAAATTGTTAAGCTTCAACCCAACCAGAGCAGAGTCTTCAATATCACTCACAATGGGAATCATTTTTATGGACCACTAATTCCAAGTTATTTGTCCACACAAACTGTTTCTAGTGAAAATCCATTGGATGCAGCAGATAGTCATATATTTTCTTTCATTCCAATCGAGAACGCGACACTTCCTCCAATCATCAATGCATTAGAGATATACTCAGTGAAAGATATATCAGAATTAGAAGCAAACCAAGGAGATGGTATCCTTCTTTAGATACATTTTGTGAATTTACTTAATTGAAAGTTGATGAATACTAATTTGATTTCTTCTTTGGATAATTAGTGGATGCCATTACCAACATCAAGTCAACTTATGCGATAAATAGGGACTGGCAAGGAGATCCGTGTGTGCCAATGGGATATCCCTGGAGTGGATTACATTGTAGCAATGAAACTGCTCCAAGAATCATATCCTTGTAAGGGCAAGCCTTCTATGAATCTCAAAATTTACTTTGTATCTAAAAGATGGATCACATAGATTCATGAGAAAAAGGTTAATTTTCTTGACAGGAACCTATCTGCAAGTGAACTGACAGGTGAAATATCTTCTTACATATCAAATCTAGCAATGTTGCAAACTTTGTAAGTATCTCTCTGTTAGGATATTTAGAGGGCATAGTTACCATTACATAAAGAGTTTGTTGGAAAAATGGTAATACGTAGAATGGGGCAGAGGGGTTTTTAAGGTATGTATAATTTGGATAGTAGTTTTTAGGAGAATCTAAACCTCTGAAAGCGTTTGGATATTCAATTTTTCTTTCCTATTTAAACAATATTTTTTATCCGTTTCTGTACAATTTTCGAGTCCTACCATATCCATAGATGATTTTATGCTAACTTAATATCTTGTTCTCTATTAGGGACTTGTCTGACAATGAGTTAACTGGAGAACTGCCAGAATTCTTAGTAAATTTGCCAAATTTAAGAACCCTGTAAGTTTCTTAGTTGTAATCATGAAATCTAGAACATGAAGTTCCATGTGAAAATTAGAAGGTATTTATCTTTTCAACCGTGTTTGCAGTAATTTAACCAAAAACAAGTTCACAGGCTCAGTTCCTAAGGCTCTATTGCAAAGGGCTGAAGCTGGATCACTTACATTAAGGTTAGCCATCAAGTTAACTTTATAATTTCCGCTCGCTTTATTCTTAAATGTTCTCATTTTCTTTTCTGCCATGTTGTCTCCTTCTAATTATACTAAACGACTAACAGAAAAGCCTGACATTTTCTTCTGCTAATTGTGCAAGTGCGGATGAAAATCCAGATCTTTGTACATCACTGAAATGCCATAACAAGTGGAAGAAGTACTTGCCTCTTATGATTCTCTCCACTATTATAGCTCTCCTCCTACCTATCCTAATGGTTACTCTGATATTCTACAAAAAGAGAAAACAAAGAGGTAAATAAGGAAAAAAAAGAACTCCTGAGTTAATGAATGACTTCGAAGGCGTAAAATAACCAACATGTGTTTATTTTCTTTGGTTTAGAGAATCTCAAAAGATCGGTCGAAGAAAGGTTTCTGAAATCGAAGAATCGACAAATTCAGTACTCTGAGATACTAGCCATTACAGATAACTTGAAGACTACTATTGGGGAAGGAGGATTTGGAAAGGTATACTTGGGTGTACTGAGTGATAAAACTAAAGTTGCTGTTAAGTTGCTGTCTGGATCATCACAGCAAGGCTCTAATGAATTCAAAGCAGAGGTTTTAGTTTTTTCTATTGTTCAAACTTGCTTGTACTAAATTAACTAGTTTCTGATATACTATGTTTGCAAATGTAGGCTCAAATATTAACAATTGCTCATCATAAAAATCTGGTTTCTCTCATTGGTTACTGTGATGAGGCTGAGAATAAGGCACTTGTTTATGAATTCATGGGTAATGGAAATCTACGCAATCATCTATTGGGTAATACGATGTTGTCCTAAAAATGGGGATTTCTATAAAATTTATGTATAATGATGGCTGGTTAACTATACAAGATGATTATTTTTTCCCTTTTGTTGAGGCAGATTCAAGCACAAAGGTGTTGAGTTGGATGGAAAGACTCCAAATTGCAGTTGACGCAGCACAAGGTGTATACAAATAACACAAAACTTACTAAGTTCATACTTCTTTTTTTTTCCTTACCCTTCTGGTTTGTGACATCTAGTAAACAAACTGCAGGGTTGGAATATTTACACAATGGTTGCAAACCACCTATAATTCACAGAGATATGAAGACTTCTAATATCTTATTGAATGATAAAATGCAAGCTAAAATAGCAGATTTTGGACTGTCCAGGGTATTTTCAAATGAAGATGATACTCATATCTCCACGTGCCCCGCTGGAACCTTTGGATATGTCGACCCTACGTAAGTAATCTGATTGCATATCTGATGTTGCAACTTTACTTTTTTTTTGGGGGGGTTAAGATACAAATTTAGTTGTTGAACTTTGATGGTTATGCCTATATAGTAGTTTTGGTTACGTCTTTAATCTTTGAATTGTGATTCTATGTGGCACTTAACTTTGCTTTTTAACATTGTTAGTAGAATGCTGTTATGACCTGTTTATGATAGGAATACTATTATGATAGAGTTAGGAATATTGATAGGGTATTAAGAGTAGGTAATTAGTTAGGGAAGTTGATTGTGAAATTTGTTATAAATAGAGGGCGTGCGTGTGGGTACAACTACCTCGAATTACTTGGTAGTTATCTTTCTGGATTTTCTTCATTATCAATATATTTCTCTGGTTTCTATCAATTTATTAGACAAAGATTGGATTATTTGGCACAAGATGGCCAATGGAAGTTAGGCAGCTGGTCAAAATAAAATTACAAAGTGCAACTTGTAAACTTTTTTAAGTAACATATTGATCAGAATTCAATGTCAGTTTCTCTGTTGAAGTGTCCCAATATAACAAAAGAAGCCTCTTGTGTACACAAAACAAAAGAACTTAGACACATAAATCTTTTGCAGGGTTCATTTATCTAAAAACTTCATCAAGAAAAGTGATGTTTACAGCTTTGGGATCGTCTTGTTTGAGCTGATCACCGGGCAACCCGCCATAATCAAGAGCTCTGAGAACAACATCCACATAGTCGATTGGGTTAAGCCTCTGATTGCTGAAGGGAACACTCAAAACGTCGTCGATCCGAGGTTAGGAGGCTCCATAGAAAGCTGTTCTGCTGGGAAATTTGTGGAACTTGCTCTATTGTGTACATTGCCAACTTCTGCAGGAAGGCCTGAAATGAGTGATGTGGTGTCACAACTCATTGAGTGTTTAAAGATGGTTCAAGATAGAGCCCCACATATATCACCTAATAATGTTGAGAATTTCTCACATAGTTCAAATTGACTATGAATTAGATCTTTGTTCCATATAGCAATCAAACAAATTCTCTTCATATTAAAACCGTAACCCTTCAATTTAAGTTTTTGGATTCAATAATATTTTAATTTGATATCAGAGCATAAGATCTCGAGTTTGAATATTTGTAATGTCATTTTCTCTTCACAATTGAGGGGAATGTTAAAGTATTGATAAAAGATTAAATAGATCTGTAAATTTTCAAGCCCACAAGTGAGAGAGAGTGTTAAAGTTTTGATACAAGGTTAAATGTATTTTAACTCATAAGCTCGTAGTTGAAATTTTCTTTTGGTTTCGAAACCTTCTTGCTTCCACAATCTTTGTCAGCTGCCTTCAGGTTTCATTAATCGTTCTCTGGAAATGAAATGGAAAGATAAGGCTGATATAATATCCTTAAAAAAGACAAATTTTTTTTTCCTTTAACCAGTTGCACCATGTTAAGTTAAACTCAAAATTCAAAGGCTTAAACTTTTCTACTTCAATTGGGGCCAATTTGAAAATAGCTTAGTGGATAAAGTCTCTCTTACCTTCCTAAAGTTGAGGGTTTGATCCCATTTTCATTTTTATTGAACTAAAGAAAGAAAAAGAAAAAAAATTAGGAATCTATTAGACAAAACCCCAAAGTTGAGTTCTAAACTTCTTTTTTTTAATGGTTCCTCCATGTGGCTCCCAGATTGAAATCTAGCTTCAATATTTAAATTAATTGAGTTCAATTTATGATTTCAAAGAATTTTAAAAATTTTCTAGTATGTGAGTCAACTTTCCTATGTAACGCGTTCTCTAATATCCCATGCTGTGAGGGAATTCCTCATGTGTTGACTTTACTATTATCATCACAAGCTTTCCACATGTTCCTCAAGCTGCAGAAATGGCTGCTTTCTCAATTCTCATCATTCAATGACCCAACAAGAGGAAGAGGCTGATGATAATGGAAACACCAGGGCATTCCCTCTTTGGTTTCCTGCTAATTCTACTTCTTGTTCAAGCTCAAGATCAGTCAGGTAACAAAGTTGTCTCCTTTGTTGATTAATATTAATATATCCTACTTCTTCCAATCATCTATATATGTAGAGAGAGAGAGAGAGAGTTGAATCCTAAACTGTCTGTTATTTATTTCACAGACTTCATTAGTTTAGACTGTGGATTACCAGAGGGTACAAGTTACACTGAAACTTCGACCAATATTAGCTACATTTCTGATGCATCCTACATAAATAGTGGTGTAAGTGAAAATGTAACTTGGACATACAGAGATTCCCATCAAAGGCAAATGCTCAAGCTTAGAAGTTTCCCTCAAGGAATAAGAAACTGCTACAATGTAAGCATTGTAAAGGGTACCAAATACTTGATTCGAGCGAGTTTCTTGTACGGGAATTATGATGGCCTTAATTTGCTACCAACATTTGATCTATATGTTGGGAACAGCTTGTGGGAAACAGTAAACATCACTGACAAAGGCATAGATATTGTCAAAGATCTCATACATATTACCTCCTTAAATGAAGTTCACATATGTCTAATCGATACTGGAAATGGAGTGCCATTTATTTCAGCATTAGAATTTAGACCTTTACTTAACATGACTTATCAAACAGTATCGGGATCCTTATCACTTGCCGCTCGACTGGATGTCGGTTCAACAGATTATCAAAATTTCAGGTATTTAAGCACTAATTTTACAAACAAATTTACTGCTACTAAAAAAGTGAGATGCTAACATAATATTTTGTCTATGTGGCTGCTCTCTCTAAGATTTCCTTTTGACGTTTATGATCGCATCTGGCCAGCATATAACTTCGAGGGGTGGACACAAGTAAGTACCAAGCACACTGTAGATCCTAGTGGCAACAATCACCAACTGCCATCCATTGTCATGAAAACTGCTTCCACTCCAATAAATGGAAGCAAGCCTGCGGAGTTCTGGTGGGATACAATAGATTCATCTCAATATTATGTGTTTATGCACTTTGCTGAGGTTGTAGAGCTTCAACCCAACCAGATTAGAGCGTTCAATATCACTCACAATGGAGATCTTTATTTTGGACCTATAGTTCCAAATTATTTGTCCACGTTGTCCGTTTTCAGCGAAAAACCATTGGAGGCAGCAAATAGACATTTATTTTCTTTCATTGCAATCAAGAACACAACACTTCCTCCTATCGTTAATGCTCTCGAGATATATACAGCAAAAAATATATCAGAGTTTGAAGCAGACCAAGGAGATGGTATCCTTTTTTTGATGAACTTTGTGAATTTACTTTGTTGAAAGTTAATGCATATTAATTTGGTCTATTCTTTGGATAATTAGTGGATGCCATTACCAATATCAAGTCAACTTATGGAGTAAAGAGGGATTGGCAGGGAGATCCATGTGTACCAATACGATATCCCTGGAGTGGATTAACTTGTAGCAATGAAACTACCCCAAGAATCATATCCTTGTAAGTACAAGCCTTCTATGAACCTTAAAGTTGTATTTGTATCTGAATAATGGATTACATGAATTCATGAAAAAGTGTGAATTTTGTGAACAGGAACCTATCTGCAAGTGAACTGATAGGCGAAATATCTTCTTACATATCAAATCTAACAATGTTGCAAACTTTGTAAGTGTCTCTCTGTTTCTTTATCATATCAATAGATGCTTTTATGCTAACTTTACAATATCCCGTTCTCGATCAGGGACTTGTCGTACAATGAGTTGACTGGAGAGCTGCCAGAATTCCTAGTAAATTTTCCAAATTTAAGAAATATGTATGTTTCTTAGTTTTAATTTCCTTTTTTTTTTTGTATTAATCATGACATTCAGAACATGAAATTCCAGGTGAGATTGAAGGTTATCTATCTATTTATTGTGTTTGCAGTAATTTAACTAGAAACAAATTCACAGGCTCAGTTCCCAAGGCTCTCTTGCAAAGGGCTGAAGCTGGATCACTTACATTAAGGTTAGCTATCAAATTAATCAAGTTTCTTTACCCTTGATCCTGATTTTTTTACTGCCATATTGTCACCTTCTAATTTTATTGTTTGATATTAAATGACTAACCGAAAAGCCTGACATTTTCTTCTGTTAATTTTGCAAGTGTGGGTGAAAATCCTGATCTTTGTACATCACTTAAATGTGATAACAAGAGGAAGAATAACAAGAAGAAGAAGCACTTGCTTCTTATAATTCTCTCCACTATAATATCTGTTATTCTACCTATCCTAATGGGTATTCTAGTAATCTACAAAAGGAGAAAACAAAGAGGTAAATCTCTCATTTCTTTTGCTTCTGTCTCTACACTTAGTTAAATCCATCATATTTCAAGTAAAGACAATGAAATCGAGTTAAATGTGAAGAAGATTTCCTGAATGGTGAATGACCTTAAAGGTGCACAATGACCAATACGTGTTTATTTTACTTTGTGTAGAGAATCTTAGAAGATCGATCGAAGAAAGGTTACTCAAATCTAAGAATCGGCAAGTTAGGTACTCTGAGATACTGTTTATCTCAGATAACTTGAAGACAGTTATTGGGGAAGGAGGATTTGGAAAAGTATACTTGGGTGCAGTGAGTGATAGAACCCAAGTTGCTATCAAGTTGCTGTCTAAAGCATCACGACAAGGCTACAATGAATTCAGAGCAGAGGTTTCAGTTTTCTTAACTGCTTGAATTTGCTTGTACTAAATTATCTAGTTTCTGATATATCGTGTATGCAAATGCAGGCTCAAATATTAACTGTTGTTCATCATAAAAATCTGGTTGCTCTAATTGGTTATTGTGATGAGGCGGAGAATAAGGCGCTCATCTATGAATTAATGGCTAACGGAAATCTACGCAAGCATCTATCCGGTAATTCTAATATTGTCTTAAAAAAATAGATTGCTATAAAATGTATGTATCCCGATAGTTGGATGATTATATAAGATAATTTTTTTTCTTTCTTTTGCTGAGACAGCTTCGAGTACAAAGGTCTTGAGTTGGATGGAAAGACTACAAATAGCAGTTGATGCAGCACAAGGTGTATATAAATAACAGAAAAACTTAATAGTTCATTCTGTTTTTGTTTTTATTATTATTATTTTTTTATCCATCTGGTTTCTAACATCTAGTAAACAAACTTCAGGACTGGAGTATTTGCACAATGGTTGCAATCCACCTATAATTCACAGAGATATGAAGACTTCAAACATCTTATTGAATGAAAGAATGCAAGCCAAAATATCAGATTTTGGACTGTCTAGAGTTTTTGCAAATGAAAGTGATACTCATTTGTCCACATGTCCTGCTGGCACTTTCGGATATGTCGACCCTATGTAAGTATCAACAATCAATGTATCGCTTCATGTTCCCGACTAAAATGAGTAATCTGAGAGCATACCTGATTCTGCAACATTTTCAACTAAATTTACAATGAAGCCTACATTTTTTCTACTAACCAAGCAGATTTCAATGTCAGAAGTGTTCATCTTGTGTACAAAAACTAGAGAATTGAAACATATAAACCTATTTCAGGATCCATTCATCTGGAAACTTCACCAAGAAAAGTGATGTTTACAGCTTTGGGATTGTCTTGTTTGAGCTGGTGACTGGCCAACCGGCCATAATAAAGGGCTCTGAGGACAACATCCATATTGTGGATTGGGCTAAGCCTTTGATTGAAGAAGGCAATATCCAGAACATTATTGATCCGAGGTTAGAAGGCTCCACAGGAAGTTGTTCTGTTGGGAAATTTGTGGAGTTGGCTCTGTCGTGTACACTGTCAGCTTCAGCTGAAAGGCCTGACATGAATGACGTGGTGTCACAACTCATTGAATGTCTGAAGATGGGTCAGGAAAGAACCCCACAGATGCCACCTAATAATGCTGAGAACTTATCTTACAATTCAATGGGCTCTGAATTATTATTAAGTCCCAGATAGAAGCTAAACAAATCATTCTTTTTTGGGGGTTCTGAAAATTCAGGTTCAGTAATCTTTCTCTGATGATGGAATAGATAAATGAGGCAATATTGCAAGAACTCATTTATCTAATAAATATATTTTTTTCCATTTTCCCAGTTTTAAAAAATGCTTTTGCTTTTATTCTTTCTTTGAAAAATTTGTTTCTAAAAGTTCGATCATATATTGTTAAAGTTTCTCATATGGGAAGAATTGTTCTTCAAATTTGTTGGTGACAAATTGTTGATATATTGAAAACTTTGATGACATATCGACTCTAATATATAAATAAACTTATTAGTTGGTAAATTTATGATTTCAATTAAATGAATCAATAACTATCAAATTATCATTACAACTCATGATGATAAAGATCATATATATATGCTTTAAAGAAATAACCCCCAACTCTTGGTCCTAGCCAAAATTTCCAGTCTGATAAGAACACTGATAAAGATAATAATGAAAGGTAAACAAAAACAATAATTTAGAAAGAACATCAAATTTATATAGAAAGTGTTTATAAAAAAAAAAATGTCAGCGGTTACCCATGTGCCCAAAGTACTTAAGTTTTAAGTGTAGAAAGTCAACTTGCCTATGTAACCTGTTCTCCAATCTCCCATGGTGTGAGAGAATTCTTCTTGTGTTGACTTTCTATTATCCAACGGTTTCATTATATATTTATAACTGGAATCTCTCTTTTTTCTGATCCAGTTCCTACACCACCACGAACCTCAGTTATTCAGGCATGATACACTTTTTAGTTATTGGGAGAACCTTAGTATTCTCTTTCGGATCCAGGAAACAGCTCTCCACATGCTTACCATATATGCCTCGAGGTGCAGAAATGGCTGCTTTCTCAATTATCATCATTAAATGCACCTAAATTTAGACCCTAAGAGGAAGAAGATGATGATAATGGGAACATCAGAGCATTCTCTCTTCGGTTTCCTGCTGATTAGTTTGGCACTGCCTCTTCTACTTCTTGTTCAAGCTCAGGATCAGTCAGGTGACAAAGCTATCTCCATTGTTGATTAATCTATCCAACTTTTTCCAATAATCTATATCGAGAGTCTTGAAGCTTAAGTTGTCGGTTATTTGTTTCGTAGGCTTCATTAGTTTAGATTGTGGATTACCAGAGGGTACAAGTTACATCGAGGCCACGACCAATATTAGCTATGTGTCTGTGCAGCCTACATAAGCAATGGTGTAAGTGAAAACATATTGAAATATGACAAAGGAGATCCTTATCCAAAGGAATTGAGGAAGCTTAGAAGCTTCCCCCAAGGTATCAGAAACTGTTACAATGTAAGCATTGTAAAGGGCACCAAATACTTGATTCGAGCGAGTTTCTTGAATGGGAACTATGATGGCTTAAACTCGCTACCAATATTTGATCTCTATGTTGGGAATAGCTTGTGGAAGACAATAAACTTCACTGACAATAACATGGAACCTTTAATAGATCTCATACATGTTACCTCCTCAAATGAAGTTCACATTTGTCTGATCAATATAGGGAAGGGAGTGCCATTTATTTCAGCATTAGAATTTAGACCTTTACGCAACAGCACTTATCAAACAGTGTCAGGATCCTTATCACTTGACGCTCGAATCGACCTCGGTACCACAGGACAACAAAACTACAGGTATTCAAGCTCTAATTTTGCCAACAAGTTGGTTACTACTTGTTAGAGTATATATTAGTATATTTTATATTCTTGTATTAATATTAATTTGTCATTTACCTTCTCCTTATAGTATTAGGTCAACCTTGTATATTTTCTATATATATATAGACTTTAATAATGAGAATACATTACATTGGATTCTCTCCAACCTTAGTCTCTGACATGGTATCAGAGCACTAGGTTTTTAGGTTTCTTGCCCATTAGGGTTTTCGTGCCCATTAGGGTTTTGCGCCCATTAGGGTTTTGTGCCTTAGGATTTTAGTTCATTGCTATCCAACACCACCACCGCTGCCGCCGACCACCGCCGCCGTTTGCTGATTTGCCAGTTATTTTTCCAATTGCTATTCGTGGGTTTCGTCTCGCCGTCCTTCGCACCTTCGTCGCGGTGCGCTTCTGTGACCGCCAATCGCCTTTACTCCTCTGGTTGTCGTGGGGGAGCACTTGGGGTTTCTGGTTTCAGAAAACACCTAATCCGGTTTGGTTCCAACCGTTTGATTCATCTGTTTTGTTTGGTTCGAGTGGTTTGGTCTGGTTCTGTCGTTTTGATTCAAATAAGTTCGCTTGTTTGTTATGGCTGAGAAGAAATCAATCGTAACTTCTGAGGTGATCCCAATGATATCAAAAATCACAGAACACAAGTTGAATGGATCAAACTATTCTTCATGGAAAATCAATATTCGTCTTTTTTTGCATAGTATTGATATGGACGATCACATAACTGAGGATCCGCCTAAGGATGAGAGGAAGAAAGCTTGGTTGCGGGATGATGCTCGACTGGTTCTACAGATCAAGAATTCGATCGAGGGTGACATTATTGGCTTGGTCAATGAATGTGAGTATGTTAAAGAGTTACTTAAATATTTAGAATTCCTTTATTCTGGAAAAGGAAATGTTAGTCGAATATTTGAAATCTGCAAGCGCTTCTACCAACCTGAGTTTGGTGACCAATCTCTTACAAATTACTTTATGGAACACAAACGAATTTACGGAGAGTTTAATGCATTACTCTCAGATAGTAATGATGCAAAAGTTCGGCTTGCCCAACGCGAACAACTAGCAGTTATCAGTTTTCTTATTGGTCTTCCACCTAGATTTGATGTGGCCAAAGACCAATTACTCTCTGGTTTGGAAATTCCAGCTTTAGAAGAGGCATACACGCGAGTACTTCGAGTTGAGAAGTCACAACCCGTCTTGTCATCTCAGTCTAATAGTGCTTTGGTTGGACGTAGTACAAATGCAAACAGAGGTCATACCTACCAAGGGAATTCCACGACTTCGAACGCTCAACGTTCTAGTGCTCCAARGTCAAATTCAGGAGATATTATTTTTTGCAATTATTGCCATAAGCCTGGTCATACAAAACGAGAATGTAGAAAGCTATTGAATRGAGGTCAGAAAACACAGTCTGCCCATGTTGCATCTACTCCTGATAATGCTGGCAAGTTAGTTACAATTCCTGCGGAAGAATTTGCTAAGTTCCAACAGTATCAAGAGTCATTGACGGCATCGTCCTCTAATCCGATTACCGCCATCGCTGAGTCAGGTAACACCAGTAAATGTCTTATTTCCTCCACATCAAAATGGGTCATTGACTCTGGTGCGACAAATCATATGGCAGGTAACCCTAACTTATTTGCTAATTTCTCCCCATCTGCATCTTTGCCTGATGTTACCATAGCAAATGACACAACTTCTCCTGTTCTTGGCTCTGGCACAGTTCATCTTTCCACATCCCTTTCACTAACATCTGTTTTAAATTTACCACAATTTTCTTT